CCCCAAAACCCCAAAACCCCAAAACCCCAAAACCCCTACCCAATATTTTAGGATTGCTAAGAATTATAAAATTTTACTAAAAGAGAAGGAATGGAGGCGCATAATGGATCGCATCACGGTAAGATTTTGCTCAATAAATTGTGGTTTTGGCTGCCAAGTGCTTGGCTTAAAGTACCCAGTACTCTTACACCCTATTTAGACGAAGATAGGTATAAGAATCATCTCTATTGTGAGTGAGAACAGTACATTTCAATCAAACAAATCTCCAAACATTATGGTAGCTGTTCACCGATGAAGAAGAAATATGGAAAACTTTTTGGAATCATCGATAAGCTGATTACCAGTGAGTCGAAGGACATCCAGGACTGGAGAAGCTTAGAGGCCCTGTTCAAGTTCTTGCAGGGTCACATCAAGATGATGATTAATAAGGAAGAGAAATAGACCAAATCAATTCAAAAATATTATGAGAAAGGAACCAGTTCCTAACAATGAAGTCTATATGTCTCAGGAATCAGTGGAATATGGTGAGTCTTAGTAGAAAATGACTAGCTCTAACCCTTCCATAGGACAGAGAGAAGACCAGCATATGTACGAAGAAGAAAAGATGGAATACAAGGAATACTACCAGCCAGAAGAAGAGAAAATGAACAGGTGTGGATCTTGCAAGAAGTACATCACTGAGAATGATGAAGAGAGCCAAAATGTAGTTATTCCTGAATGTTTCCACTTTTTCCACAAAGATTGTCTCAGAGTCCAGGCAAAGAAGCAGTATATGAAGGATATGAAAGCATCTTGTAATGTATGAGACTCAGTTATTCCAAATGCGTATCTTAATGAATTCTTTGGTAAAGAATTCCTCGACGATATCGAGACAGAACTTCTCAGAAAACAACTAAAAGAGGAAGGAGGCATGATTGACTGTAAATGCGGAAACATGCTCCAAGTAGCTCCTGGAAAAGTCGACTACAATCAGAAAGATGATGAAGGAAAAGTACTCTCTAAAGCTGCAGCTGAAAACATGGCCCAATTTAGAGTGAGATGCAATGAATGCAGCCTTATCTTCTGCTCAAACTGTAATGCAGATCCTTATCATCTTGGCAAAACTTGTGAAGAATTTGCAGAATACAGAGGAGCCGACAAGTGCAGATTCTGTCTAGAGAAACTCAAGAAAATTAGAAAGAAGGGACCGTTAGCTTTCAGAGCAGTATGTAGAAGTGAAGAATGTGAAATGTATATGGAGAGATCATGTGATAAGCAACTTGATTGTGGTCATTTCTGTTGAGGAGCAAAAGTTGATGAGGATTGTCTCCCATGCCTTGATGCAGACTGCGTCAGTCAAAACCCTGGTCTTACTCTTGACCAAACAGGTGATGATTTTTGTAATATCTGTTACATGGGTGGACTCTCCCAAGCTCCAAGTGTTCAATTAGATTGCAGACATATATTCCATGAAGAATGTTTAATCAAAGTTCTTGAAGGGAAATGGAGTGGACCAAGGATCAATTTTGAGTATATCAAATGTCCAACATGTAAGACTGAAATGTCATGTAACCACCCAGAGATTAATAGACATATTAATCTAGCTAAAACTCTTCGTGAGAAAATCAATGATATTGCTATGAAGAGAGCCAAGCATGAAGGAATAGATAAAGATGATAGATTACAACAGGCTCCATATAATGGTGAATTGCTACCATACGCAGTTGCAAGGCTTTCGTATTACATGTGATTCAAGTGCAAAAAGCCATATTTCGGAGGTCTCAAAAGTTGAGAGAACAACAATAATCAAAATGCAGCAAACTTTAAACCTGAAGAGCTTGTTTGAGGTAGGCAATTAGCACATTCGATATCATCAATTCTCCTTCATTAGAGTAACAAATTTTGTTGACATTCTTCTAAAATTCTGAATGACTTGGATTAACTTTTGTTTATAGGCTCCTGTTCGGCAGAATCTGTTGGAGGAGGTATCAAAGATTGTAAAAAGCATGGGACAGATTATATAGAATTCAAGTGCAAGTTCTGATGCTCTATTGCACAATGGTTCTGTTGGGGAACCACACATTTCTGTGATGACTGTCATACAAGACAAAACAAAGGAGATTATTTAACTAAAAAGAAGCTTTCTGAGCTAGCAAAATGCAAAGGTGCTCGATCATGACCTCTCAAAGTTGATCATCCTCAAAATGGAAAAGAAGAGTATGCCCTCGGATGTGCTATATGCAAGAACATGAAAGAAAATGATAAGGGATACTAACGACCATTCATTCGATTAATCAATTCCAATTTGTAAGAAAACGTTAGGGGTTTTGGGGTTTTGGGGTTTTGGGGTTTTGGGGTTTTGGGG